AGGGGAAAGAATTGTCAGGTTAGGGGGGTCTTCCTAGAGATGAATTTTGAATCATGTTTGGGAAGAGGGGTAAGATATGAGTGGTGGAGAACCTGATCAAAGCTGGAGTGAAGATATACAGAGAGATAGAGTTCTGTCTGCAAAGATAGAGCAGAGACTTGGAGAGATACAGACATAAACACTTTGTAGAAATGCAGCAAGAGGGAATATAATGACGGCCAACTTAGACTTCTTCCATGCATCACCCATATGCATATAAAAATAAGCTTGCAAGACATCTTGGGATATACACAATATATTCCAAACCCACTTGTAACCCTTCATTACTCTGCCTCCCCTTCACAATGCCTCACCAGGCCACCATTATTGCTTGGGCAGTCTTTGTTTCTCGTCCTTCCCGCCGGCTGAGGTTCCTGGCTGCTTTCACCACTTCTTCCTTGGTTCGGAAATCTCCCAGGGACCACTCATGTACAGGACTTTCTCCATACTGTACTAGTCCCACCTGAGAATAAAGTGTGTACCCAAATGAAATGTTTTGGGAGAGGAGAGAGGAGGGAGAGAAATACCTGATACTACTGAAGATACCACCTTGCGTCTATCTCTTTCCCTCCAAGCCCATCTATGTTGCCTTCTCTTACCTGAATCTGCTCTGGATCAATAAACAATCTTCCTACCAGCCTCCGCAGGAAAGTCTGAACTTCAGACCAGGGGTAGATGCTGTTGGAGCCATCCAAGACAATGACAACATCCATGTAGGTGGGGCAACCTAAGAGGAGGGGTATGGTGATAGGAAACAAATAGGTAGAGAAATACTGGGCTGGGGTCAACAAGGAGGACACAGGAGGTCACAGGAGGACACATTCAACCAAATATTTATTAGGTACCTTCTTATATGCAAGTAAAAAACTGTGCCAGGCCCTGGATAAGTTATAAATGACAAGAGAAGAGGCAGGAATATATACTATTTAGTTAAAAATGGAGGAAAGAAGATGCCAGGGAGAAACAAAGCACCACTTTGCTGTGAAGAGTGAAGAGGCCTTTTTTCATTCATACTCAGCACATGCACTTCCACTGAGCTACAGCTCCAGGCCCAGAGAGTGGATTCTGATTGAATGTCAAATGGGGGAGCAGACAGGAAGGTAATGGGCTGGGGCTGTAGCTCCGTGGTAGAGTGCTTGCTTGCCTGGCCTACAAAAAGAAAAAGGAGAGGAGGAGGGGGAAGAGGAAGAGGAAGAAGAAGATATTTGAAGTTTAAAGATGTTTGAGGAGAGGAGAATATAAGGAAAGGCATTTGAATAGAGAACACTTATAACAAGGGGAAACAGAGGTGCGTGAAGAGAGATGACACGTATAGAGTGGTGAGAGGAATGCTATGGTCAAGGCCCAGGGTATATGAAGGTATAAGTTGGGTTTTTGAAATTAGACCAGATCACCAAGTCTTTCTGCCTTGGTAAGGAATCCAACTCTAATCTGTTAGGAAACAAGGAGCTTTTGCAGGTACATTAAGTAGCAATGAGGATGGCCAAGCAGACCCTCTGCCAGACATCAGAGCTTTTTGCCCCATCTTTCTCCCACCCAGCTTCTCTTTCTGGGAACTGAGTCTTTAGGCTCTTCCTCCAGCTCACGTTGGGCAGTGGGTGCCAGGCTTCCCTGGGGCTGGAATGAAGCATCCACACGAGCACATATTCCAGAACTGAAGACAGAGCTGCCACAAGCCCGAGACCAGAGAGGGGCACAGGCCTGGGGACAGACGGGAAACAGTTACTCCCATGTTTGAAGAGTACCCTCAGAACATACTCCCACACACTGAGACTACTCCCTGGGAGGCCCTACCTTTCTTTCTAGCTTTAACTCCTTGACCTCTCCACATAGACTAGCTTCCCTTACCCCAATGTTCTTTTTGTTTTCTACCACAAACCTTCGGAGACCCTGCCACCATCCTTTCCTTAGCTCACCATGAATCCCCCATCATCATCTGTCTCTAACAGAGACATGCCCAGGTGCATATTCAGAGCAGGATGAGATGAGTTCCCCAGTTGATAATCACCTGGTTGGAGGGGAGTGGAAGAGAATGAGATCATGAGGTCACAGATGGCATGACTGAGTTCAAGGTGGCTTTAGAAGAGAATGTGAAGGGGAGAGGGCATATGTGGATTATGGAGATGAAGAAGCTAACAAGGGGTCACAGATACTAGGGTATCAAAGGGTTAGGAGGGGAAGGGTCAGGCATCTTCTTACCCAAGTGGCCCTTGGCACATGGGGCATTGTGGGGCCCTCCTACAGGGCAGCGATAAACGTCTCCCCTCCGGTCACCTGAAGGCCCATCCCAAGGAGCGCCCACCAGCATCCTGGGAGGAGGATGTGAGTAAGCATAGGGTGAACATGACCCTTATCAGGGGTCAGAGGGAAAGTACATGGAGGTGGCAAGTTTAGAGCCCCAGTCACTTTGCAAAAACCAGACGAACGTGGAATCCCATCTATTTTGCCTCCCCTTTATTGGCAGCACCACAGACCCAATCCCATAACTCTCTGGTTTCCTCCTCACCATCTCTGTCCACCCCCAATGTGTTGTAAGACACTGTATCCAAATTCAGCCTCTGGTGGCCCTGCGAATAGGCGTGGGTGATGCACATCCAGATTAAAGGGGGAGCAAAAACCTGTCGGGCCAGGATCATAGGATTAACATGAAATGATCAGTCATGCCTGGGATGCACAGCCAGAGAGAAACCATGAGGTAGCATCTGAACCTCAATCTTTCTGCCTTCGTCTTACTCGTAAGCTCTCCTGGACTCTGTCAATGTCATAGATTCAGAATCTCCAAAGGAATGATCCCTTCCCGTGTTTGGGTCCTGTGGCTCTCGGCCATGATGATGTACAACTGTATTTCCATTTCCACTCCTGAAATCTCATTCACAGATGTGTCTGGAAAGGTCAGATTACTCTTTTTCACATCATTCCTCCTACACATCTTCCTCTCCAAACTATGAGAGTCAAGAGGGAGAGGACCTTTCTACAACTCCAGAATAACCCTTTCTTCCAAATTCCCCCAAAACTCAGGACCACAGGCAGAACAAAAGCAATATAAAGTGCATTGTGTGTCTGGGTCTCTCCTCTCTCTCTTTTTGACTCCCAGTGACATTGTCACACTCTCACTCTTTCTTCAGTGTCTGGGTTGCTGGCGGTTCCAACCCTGGAAACCTCAATGGTAATTAACTGGGTGGGGCCACCCGCTTGCCCACACAGTTTGCCATCCATCCTTGCCAATGGATCCATTACCCCAAAGTTTCCCTTAATCTGCTTTCTTTTTATCTCATTCAACTGCCCCTTGCCTGCCTCCATGGTTTCCTCAAACTTCAACACACTCTAAAGGCCCCAATCATGTCCTTGCTGACTCTTTCCTTCTGACCCCAATTCCTTTAAAATCAGAGCTTGTATTTTAGGAAACAAAGATTATAGGGTACCATCAAGGAAAAATCCAGTTCTCTCGTCCCTCCCATGTTGCTCTTCCCAACTGTGCTTACTCCTTACTGTCAAGCAACCCCCTCCCAGGCTACCCCACCACCAACACTACCAGTGACTATAGACAGTTTTAACCCAAACCATGCTTACTTTCAGAAAGGTGTTTTGTATGTGAACCTTTTGCATCCAGGAAATTGGCAGGGCTGTATGATCAGGGACTATGGATCATTGGTTAGAAAAACCCAGAGTTCTGACCACATGGTAAGGCAGTTATGTCTCAAGCCCCGTGTACTACCAAGCGTAGGGAGAAGGAGGGAGGGAAGGAAATAATAGGAATCAGACTAGCCACGTGAAAGGTCATGTCATGTTGCTTTTCTGTCTCCTGACTCCCACAGGGTTAAGGAAAGGTTTTAGATAGTACAAAACTTAGGCAAGGCCCTAGTCAACTTCAGCCTCTGCTAATCTCAATATCAAAGCAGTCGCCTGCGGAAATACACATGGAATACTGAATCCTATTAACCTCCTACCCTAACTCCCAAAGAACTTTTATACCCTAATTGACCCAATTTCACACAATTCATACATCTTTCATTCCCACCAGAAACCAAGAAGTTAACGTCCCTCACCTGACAGGAACATCAGGGGCAAGAACAGGTGAGGGAAGAGGGGGAGCTCCATGCCTGGTTGTTCTGTCCTGTGTCAGAAGTCCTCTGTGCTTCTGACTTTCTCCTTTTCTGCTACTTTCCCTCCTATCCTGCCCCCTCCCACTGGTAGCTAAAAATAAAGTTGGAAGGAATGGGAGGAGTGATGGGGGGAAACTGTGGGGAGCCCCAGACCAAGGAGGTATAAGTGATCTTGGTTTATTTCTCTGTCTTGGTGCTGCCCCCTGGAGGCCTCCTTCCAATATCCAAAGAGAAAACAATTTTTGACCATTTCTGCCACTTCTCTTTTATTCTACTTCTTTTATTTGTTGACAGGTCAAAAACGCTTTCTTCAGATTTAGAACAGGAAGCAGGGGTGGGAGACAGATTATTTTTATCCCCTATTTATCTCAACCTAGGATATGCAACACAAAAGAGAAGTGGTACCATTTACCCACCCACCCAGGAGAGTCCGTCCCAGTGTGTGAAGGCACAGCCCCAAATCAAGTCTTACGGATCTCATTCCACTTAGTTCTGTTCATGGATTTTTAGCCTGTGCTGCCTTGTAGGGCTATAGTTTTTGGAGGGACTATAACTATGAACTGGTAATGATGTGTGTTTTGTGGAGCCAGAGTAATTACTTTAGCTAAGACCACTTGTCCCCCAACTCTTCAACTAAGCTATAAACATCTCAAAGAACTGTGGCACTACGGAGCTTCTTAGCTTTTGACATGTTCACTACCCAGTATTTTGCCCTGCATACTATAGGTGCTCAACAAAAATATGTGTGTAGTGATGGTAGTGGCCAATTCCATGGAAAATCCAAACCACAGTGACAGGAATAGGGGCCATTGAGTGACCAGAACATGAGGGAGCAGACCAAATGTCAATGAGCAAACTGATCTTTAATTCGCTGACCTGGAAGGCTTGCTCTTCACTGTGGGCATGGGCAATGGCTATTTACAAAGATCATTGTACAGTATTTACAACAAGATGCTAGACACAGCATCCATAAGGATAGGCAAAGATGGGGTAAGACCCAGCTGGGGAACATAACTCTGAAATCAAGTGCAAGCAGAAATCTGAAGGTGTGGATACAGAGAAGAGTAAGGGCCAAATCATAATGGAGGTTGGTGAGGTAGATGCAAGGGAGGAAGAAAAATTATCAACCTGTGGTACAGAGATAGGAGAAAACACTGGAACATAAAAATTATGACTTTGAGTTGAAAGGAGAAAACCTGCCATAAGCTACCTCTCTGAGAATAAAAAGGCAGTTAGAACCTTTCAAACCAAATCTTAAACTTCTCCTATCAAAAAGCAATCCCATTTTAAATTTCTGGAGAGAGGTCTGAGAATGTAAAAAAGATACACAGAGATAGACTCTTAAATTGACTTAGGATTGATAAATTACATCAAGAGAGACACAGACAATAAAAAAATAAAAGAATAAAACCTCAGGCACAGCTGTGTATTAGAATCATTCTATTGGCAAGTCATCTGTCCTCACCTCATCTTCCCCAGAGTTCCTTCCTTCACCCCCAAATCTCTGGATTTTAATTCAATCAAGGAGTAGAATTGGAATGAGGATGGTACAGGTGGGGGGGATGCAATCTAAAATTCCACCTCACTAGTTTAGTTCCCCTCCTTATCCTATTCCAGAACATTAGGGCTTGAGTCGTAGCCAGGGGCAGATTAGGGTGAGAATAGACAGGATGGAGGACACAAGACCACAAAGCCCCACAACCCCAGGGCCACAACGCCAGAGGCCTAATTTGTCCAGTGGAATGAAGAGATCGCAGGCATTTCTGACCACATCCAGCAGAAGAGGCGGATGCCCACGAAGGACCCGAGCCAGGAGCAGGACTCGGAGCCGAAGCTTCAGAGCCAGTTGGGGCAGGCCTCCTCCTGGAGTCCCTGGGCCCCCAGGTCCCCCAGGTTCAATGCCTCCTGGGACTCCTCCTCCTCCAGAACCCTTCATTCGCCGGCTACCAGCTGAAGACTCTTGTTCCATCAGTAAGCGAATCTCATAAGCATCACGGCTCAAATTCATGATGAGAGAAAACAGATAGTACCTGAGATACACAGGGCAGAAGGTTAGAAGGGCATGCATACCTACCTAACATGTCCAACATACAAACATTTACTTCTTATGTAGAGCAAAGGGATTATACATTAGAATATCAGAAGTGAATGTTACAATCTACTATTAGAAATGTCCTTCCTTCAGGATATTATGCTGATTGAAATAAGCTAGACACAGAAAGATAAATACCACATGATCTCACATACATGTGGAAACTAAACAGTCTAATTCATAGAAGCACAGAATCGAATGACAGTTGCTAGAGGTTTAGGGGTAGAGGAAATGGGAAGATGTTTGTCAAAGAGTATAGAGTTTCCGTTATGCAAGCTGAGTAAGTTCTGGAGCTCTAACATAGCATGGCAACTATAGTTAACAATATTGTTTTATATATTTAAAATTTGTTAAGAAGGTTTATTTTTCCTTTTTGATACTGGGAATTGAACCCAGAGGAGTTTTAACGCTGAGCTACATCCCCAGCTATTTTAATTTTTTATTTTGAGACAGGGTCTTTCTTTGCCAAGGCTGGCCTCAAACTTGTGATGTTCCTACCTAAGCCTCCTGAGTTGTTGGGATTACAGGCATGTACCACCATGCCCAACTAAGAAAGTAGATCTTAAGTGTTTTCACTATTGGAAAAAAAAAAGGTTACTATGAGGTAATGAAGAATATGTTAACTAGCCTATTGTGGTGATCATTTCATAATGTACACATACCAAACATCACACTGTATACCTTAAATGTATACAACTTACATTTGTCAAGTATATCGCAGTAAGAATAAAAGAAAAAGTCCCCCTACCTTTCTGTAACCAGTATGTGTTTGTGTGCACCTTAAGATTCAGTCTTAAAATTCATTATCATGAAATCTTTAAAGGTCAACCTAAAATTACACTTTTGAGGCAACCCCTTCGCCTATACTATATTCAACTTTTGTCCCATAATAATGCAAACTTAGGCTGGGCGCAGTGACACATGCCTGTAATCCCAGTGGCTCAGGAGGCTGAGGCAGGAGGATAATGAGTTTAAAACCAGCCTCAGCAATTCAGTGAGGCTCTAACCACTCAGCAAGACCTTATTTCTAAATATAAAAAAGGGTTGGGAAGGGGGCTGGGATTGTGGCTCAGCAGTAGAGCATCCCCCTAGCACGGGCAGGACCCAGGTTCTATCCTCAGCACCACATAAAAATAAAGGCATTGTGTTTTATCCACCTACACCTAAAAAATAAATATTAAAAAAAGGTTGGGAATATTGCTCAGTGGTTAAGCCCACTGAGTTCAATCCCTGGTATGTATGTATGTATGTATGTATAAATAAATAAAGCAAGCAAGCAAGCAACAAACTTGTTTTCAAAGAACAAACTTTTGTTACTGGAGAGACACATACATATTATAGATCAGCTAAATCCAGTTATTTTTTTTTTTAATTTTTAAAAAGAGGCCTAAAAGTTTTAAGTAATTGCCAAATGTGTTAAGTTAAGTACAAAATTTGTTTTTTTGATTGTTAACCCATTCTGACAACATTGGTCTGTACTCAACAAATCATCCTACCTCCAAAATATATCCTGAATCTAATAACTCTGCTTTAATCTTTTGACTAGTCTCTCTATAGCCATTTGCCCCACAACAATTTCATTTCATAAAGTAGTTAGCATAAATATAAATCACATCACTACTCCTGTTCTTAAAACGTTCCACAATTTCCTTCCTATCACATTTACAATAAAATTTAGATACCTTAAACAGGCTTCCAGACTCAACATATCTGGCCTCTGCCTCTCTTGAACGATTCTTTCCTCAATCACTATGTTCCAACAATGTTGGTTTCCTTCTATATTTCGATCCCATCCAGATTGTTCCCGTCTTAGTGCCTTTGTATTATCTACTTCCTGTACCTGGAATCTCCTCTCTTGAAAAACTTCACATGGCTGGCTCATTTTTGCTCTTCGGGTCTGAGCGTAAACGTTCCATCTTCAGAGAGGGTTTCCTTGACCTTCAGTCTAAAGCAGTGAGCCATTTACTATCTACCACATGATTCTATTTCAATTTTCTTCATAACACTTGCCATTATCTGATATTCTTCTTATTGTCTGATCTGTCTTCCTCATTACACTGTACGTTCCATAGGAAGGAGGACCTTGTTTGTCTTTAACCACTATATCCCTGTTTCTAATCAGGCATGCAATATAATATGAGCTTAATAAATATTTGTTGAATAAAATGAATAAATATAACATATATACTCTTCTAGGGAGTTGCCTTTCAATACCACTCCAGTAATGTCTCTACTCTCATCATCATAAACCATTTTGGAGTTGTGACTCACTGAGAAAGATTAAAAGCAAGGCGGAAATGGAGATGGAAAGATGCTGATATAATGAATAAGAAAAGAAAAAGTCCCCCTACAAAAGACAAATAGAGATGATATGTACAGTTATCCTTCAGAATCTGAAGGGAATTTGTTCTTGAACCCTTATCCCTACAGATACCAAAATCTGCACAAGTTTAAGTTTCTTATGTAAAATATATGCATAGTATTTGCGTATAACCTGTGCACAATCTCTTGTACACTTTAAATCATCTCTAGATTCATTATAATACCTACACAATGCAAATTCTATAATTCTATACAAATAATTATTATACTATATTGAGGAACAATGGCAAGGAAAAAAGTGCATACATGTTCAAAACAGATGCAATTTTTTCCCCTAATATTTTTTGATCTGTGGTTCGCTGAATCTGTAGATGGGGAATCAACTGTAACAGGAAGAATTTTTTTTTTTTTTTGGTACCAGGGATTTAACCCAGGGGCACTTAACCAATTTTATTCTCAAACCATATTTCACTTCACCCACTTAGTCCATGCCAATATCATTTCTTGCCCACAATTGATCATCTCCTCCCTTTTGGTTTACTATAATCCATTTTCCACATCACAGCAAGATGGGTGTTCTTGGCCAGGCATGATGGTGCATGCCTGTAATCCTGATGGCTTGGGAGACTGAAGCAGGAGAATTGCAAGTTCAAAGCCAGCTTCAGCAACTTAGTAAGGCCCTAAGCAACTCAGAGAGACTTGTCTCAAAATAAAAAATAAAAAAGGGTTGGGGATGTGGCTCAGTGGGTTAAATCCCTGGTAACAACAACAAAATGTTCTTTAAATACAATTCAAGTCATGTCAAATCCCTTTTTTGAATCCTTCAATATGTATGTAGGATAAAATTTAAACAATAACAACAACAACAAAAATCTTACCTCAAAGGCTCTGAATAAGACTGGCTCTTATCTCTCAACTTGAATTTATGCCCTTTACTCAATACTATCCATCATCTAGCTTTTTATTATTTACTACATATGCAATTTTCTGTTTGGAAAGACCTTTTCTGTTGTTTCTTTTGTCTAACTACTATTCAGACTTCAAGTTTGAACTAAAATATTACTTTCTCAAATAATTCTTCCCTGATCCTTGAATCTAAATCAGCTCCCCTTGATACATTCTCTCATAACACCCTGTACTTCTCCATAAATATAGGTGAGTGGTTGTTTTAATATGGCTCTCCTATTAGATGGGAAACTTCATGGGAATTGGTACTACATCATGGAAGAGCATGTGTCTTCCATGTGCCCACATTTATTTTTCTCTGACAGTTTAGGATCTAAATGAAGATTTGAAACCAAGTGATTAAGACACATATAACTGTCTTTGGTATATAGTTTCCCTTTGGGGAATTGGTTCAGGATACTCCTTGGATACCTAAATCCTACCAAAACTCCACAAATGCTCAAGTCCCTTTTATAAGTTGGAATATTATTTTTGTTTTGTTTTGTTAATTTTTAGTTATAAATGATGTACTTTGGGGCTGGGGATGTGGCTCAAGCAGTAGCGCGCCTGGCATGCGTGCGGCCTGGGTTCAATCCTCAGCACCACATACAAACAAAGATGTTGTGTCCACCAAAAACTAAAAAAATAAATATTAAAAATTCTCTCTCTCTCTCTTAAAAAAATGATATACTTTGACACATCATACATACATGGAGTATAACTTCCAAGTATTGTAGTTATATATGATATGGAGTTACAATGGTCATGTATTCATATACAAACATAGGAAAGTTATGTCTGATTCATTCTACTGTCTTTCCCAGTCCCATCTCCCTACCTTTCCCCTGTTCCTCCATTAAACTGGCATAGTATTTGCATATAACCTACACATATCCTCTCATATACTTTAAATCAACTCTAGATCATTCTCTAATACTTACTACAATGTATATGCTATGTAAAGAGATGCTATACTATATTATTTAAGAAATATTGACAAAAAGACTGTTCAATACAGATGCATTTTCAATCTGTGGTTGGTTGAATTTGTGGAACTCATGGATATGGAGGGACAACTGTGCTCTGGGAAGATCCTGAGAGATTTTTTTTCTCTTAAAAGACAAGCTATGTAGTATGGAGGCTACCAAAGGTATTTCAAGAAAAAAGGGTAACAAACCTGAATGAACGCTGGGCCCACTTTTCCTGATCCACATGGGGAGCTAGTCCAGACTTTCCAGCCCATAGGACGTTGTCACAGGCAAAGTACAAGGCTCGATTGAGGTGACTAACCGTGATGCAGAATCTCAGGACAACGTCTGACAGGTGCACAGCTCTTTTGGCTGATTCAAGGGCGTCTGCTGAGTTGCCCAAGCGCAGAACTTGTGGAGAGAACAAGGGAACACAAGGATTTGGAAGTAGAGTCAAAAACAAAACACATAACAAAGAGAGGTGAAAGTTGAACAAGTGACAGTAACAACGATTTCTAAAAAGAGCAGAATAGTTCATTATTCTTTACTTCACATTTTAGTCCTAGTTTTCTCAAGTTTGCTCTATTCTCTCCAACCCTCCCTTACTTCCTTATGCCTGCCCTCATCTCAGTTGGACACATTCAGAGAATAAGTGCAAAGTCAAACGAGGGAGAAGTGGTAGAAAACAGGAGCGGGTCAGGGGGAGAGCAGGTGAGGGTGGAGGCTGGGCTCACTCACGCTTCCTTCCGAGGCTCAGATGGCCCTCCAGTAGTCGGATCTGTTTCTGTAACTCGGGGCTGGCCCCGTGTCTCTGCAGTGCGTGGCCGAGGAGCGAGCAAGCGTACTGGGCGGCCCTGGAGGAGAGGCCAAGTGAGGGGGGACCCTCCCTCCCCTCCCCTCGAAGCTTCTCCAAAAACCCAGGCTGGACTGCGGCCCGCTCCTCCTCCGCGTCCCTCCAGGCAGGGGAGGGACAGGCTGAGCGGTCAGAGGAGCTACCAGGGTGGGGAAGGACTGTCTAGAGCGTGAGGTCTGGGGCCACGACGGCCCGGAGGCGCCCGGAGGAGCCGTCCCGGCGACGCGCCGCCCGCTGTGCACACACGACGCAGAGGGGCAGAAACTGGACAGCCAGTCTCACAGGTGACTAAGACAGGTCAGGCTGGGGCGGGGACCACGGGGGAGCGGGGCCGAGGCCTCAGGTGACTGCACGGCGGGGCACCGGGAAACGGGCAAAAGCCCGGGTCGCTGTCCACCGCGGTGAGCGCTCCGCGTCCCACCAGGGCCTAGTGGGCCAACTGCTGATCACCTGTGGAAACCACCCCCCGGGCGGCGCCCCGCGGCCCACTCGTGCCTCAGTTTTCCCATCTTTCCTGTGAGTCGGAGAAGAATCTCCTCCTCACAACCAGCTCAAGTCTGTGCCTCTCTGTCCGTCCGGGCCCCCGTAGCCGGAGTTGACCCTCTGGGACCCCCGTACCTGCAGTGACCCCCGCCTCACGATAAGGTTCTTCTGCCCACCCTTCCCTATTCCTGTTTTGGCCGCACCTACACAGCCGCTCCCGGGCCTGGCTCTGAGCACTGAAGCGGACCCAGGCGTCCATGACAGCGGCAGCCCCGCCTCCACTGTCCTCTCCCGCCCTCATCCCAGCGCCCAGTCACGCCTCCTGGGCGATCCAACGGTGCCTCGCGAGGGACACACAGCAACAGCGAGAAAGCGAATGGAGCCGGCCCTGGAACGGGATTTCAGGACGCCCCCGTTGATCGCGGGGCCTGCACTTCCGTGTTGTGGTGCTCCTCGGTCGGCGGACCCCTTACGGGATGGTCTCTATCCCTGAAACACGCCTCCAGCAGCACTTCGAGATCTAAATATTCAGGACCATGGCCGGGGCCTGGAGGCACGGAGGCGGGACGGGAAAGGCGCCGCAGCGTGCACGCCCCGGCCGCGGGATGGAAGTCGCGGCGGGCGGACTCGGCGGACCGCCCCGCGCGCGCACACCCCCGCGTGCGCACACCCCCGCGTGCACGCGACGCTCCGGCCGAGTCCAGTCGTCCAGGCGCTACAGAGGTCTCGGCAGTACGAGGTCCCGACTGATCGAACTGCCCCAGCGGGGAAGGGCGGGATTAGCACCAGATTCTTGGTGTCCTCCACAGCAGATAGAGCGTCTCAAGGGACAGAGCCTTTAGTGGACGACATCCGCAATAGCCCTCGTCAGGTCCTGAAAAGGCGAGCGAAGAATCAGCCAGCGACCCGAGCTCACTGCTGCAGACCCCACGTCCTCCTCCCCAGCCTTCCCTTCCAGGCCACCATGTCTGCTGGCAATGGCACCCCTCGCAGGTCAGCAGCGGGGGAGGAGATGTGGGCGGGATCAGGAGTGGAGCTGGAAGACGCAGAGCTCCCCACTTTCTCAGCTGCAGCCAAGGTCCGAGTGGGGGTGACCGTGGTGCTCTTCGTTTCTTCAGCTGGCGGTAACTTGGCCGTGCTGTGGTCTGTGACACGGCGGCAATCCAGCCAGTGCCGACCCTCTCCCGTCCGCCGACTCTTCGCCCATTTGGCAGCTGCCGACTTGCTGGTCACTTTTGTGGTTATGCCCCTAGATGCTACCTGGAATATTACTGTTCAGTGGCTGGCTGGGGACATCGCATGTCGGACACTTATGTTCCTGAAACTAATGGCCATGTATGCTGCAGCTTTCCTGCCTGTGGTCATAGGACTTGACCGCCAGGCAGCAGTACTCAACCCGCTTGGACCCCGCTCAGGTGCAAAGAAACTTCTGGGGATAGCCTGGGGACTTAGTTTCCTGCTTGCCTTGCCCCAGGTGAGTGACTTGGGAATATGGGCTGGGCCGGAGGAGAATTTGATTACGTTGTGTGAGCCTTGGGTATCAAAAAAGAGTTCCATTGGCCACATTAGCCATTAATCTTCCTTGGGGGCGCCTCTTATCTCTTGGGCAAGTTAAGATCGTTTGCATGTTAATTTACATCTGGTAAAAGCCTACTTTTGAAAAGCATTACCCCATTATAGGGGCCTCTTCCTTTAGGTTTGCTTTACTGAGCATGGCTTCCACCTCTGTGCAGCTTACCGTTTCCACCTTCTTCAGGAGATTGGTACAGGCAGGGAGGAAACATGGGAATCTACTAAGAGGAGGGAAGTCAGGGGCTTTGGGTAAAACTTGGAGGTATTCATTCACAGATTAAAAAAAAAATGTCATCTCTTGATACTCAAATGCTAAGGATATAGCAACAAAAGTTCTGTCTCCAGAAAACTTATAACCCGATGTGATAGAACATGCTTGTAATCCCAGTGACTCAGGAGGTAGAGGCAGGAGGATCAGAATTTCAAGGCCAGCCTCAGCAATTTAGCAAGACCCTGGCTCAAATTAAAAGAAATAAAAGCACTGGGAATGTAGCTCAGTGGTAAAGCCCCGGGGTTCAATCCTCAGGACCAAAAAGATAGATAGATAGATAGATAGATAGATAGATAGATAGATAGATAGATAGATATAGGCTCATGCAGGAGACAAATTGGGCTATTACACTAGAGTGTGCAGTCAAAAGTATTATGCTAAAGGTAAGGAGTTAAAGAACAATGGAGAGTGTCTGACCAACTTTTGCAGTCTGAAAAATGTAGTTCTTGAAAAATAGAAAGGTATTAAACAGGTTAAAAAAGGAAAAATGCTGAAGATGGAGGGTGGAGGATCCCAAGAGGTTGCTACTCAGGGAAGTACTAAATTCATACTTTATTCTGAGAGCAGTGGAAACACTAAGGTAAAAGAAGAATGACATAATCAGTTTTGTAACTTTTTACTCTGGCTTTACTGTAGAATGGGTGTTAAAACTGTAAACAGGAGAGCATCCAAATTTGAATACTGGTTAATCCAATCTCAATTATGTAGAAATCTAGAAAAAAGCTAAATGTTGAGCAATTCCTTCAAAACAAAAACCACTAACCAAGAGACTGTAGAATTAGGACTATGTCAGGAGACCGAAAAGGGTCTATGACTTCAGTCTGTGGAATAATGCATCATTATTTAAGGTTTGATGTTTAAGTTCTCAAATATTAGAAATTTAACTATCAAAAGTCTGACTACAGTACTAAGGGACACACACACAGGCACGAATGCACGCGCGCACGCGCGCGCGCACACACACACACACAATCTTCCAATGTTTCAAACAGGATCTTTACCACCCCGAACAATAAAAAGAAGCCTGCAGGCTAGGGATATAGCTCAGTCGTAGATTGCCTGCTTTACATGCTAAACATAATAGGTTCACTCCCTGGCACTGTTAGACCAGGACGCAAGACCACTGACTGCAATTAAAATCAAATTAAAGCAAGCTTATTATTTCAACCGGCTGGACTGCCTCTCCCTCCCAAAACGGCAGGAACAAGACAGCAGCCCAGCTTTCCTGTAGCCCAGCTTTATAGCCCAGAAAGTTACACCAAAGGGGGTTACAGATAATAGAACTCTGATGAGCATCACACTAATGGTAGTTTACATTTTTGCCAGCCCCAACATCAGAATTTATGAGGACCATTAGAGCCTCAGAGAGGGTCGTTGTCTGCCCAGGGAAGGCCAATATTTATGAGGTGTTACTAAAGTTTCAGAGAGGGCTGCTATCTGGTTAGAGAGCCAGACATGGGTGAGTTCAAGGCACGGGCAGGCATTCCAAGCAGGTTCAGAATTTGCAGTAATTTATAGTAAAGCCGAAGTTAGCTTTTCATGGCTTTGTGGTGAGATGCCCAATTTTAAGAAAAGATCAGGTTGGGTCTATCAGGCACCACACAGAGAATTAAGAGGCCTGTTGCCACAGTGCAATAGAAATTGGGTTTGTTTAAATAAAAGTTTAGATGTGGGGGATGACTGTTATTATCGTATTGTTTGACTCTTTTTACTTTGCTTTTTTTTCCCTCCCAAGTCTAGGCTCTACCACTACCTACCTTATGCCTTTGGCTGAATCCCTTAAAATCCATGCTGGCACAAGATGATGTACTAGTAAATGAATTTAATTCTTTTTCGAAGTTTGGCAATCTGATAATTGCAATCTTTGTTTCAATGGCAAATTTGTAGTGACATGTATATATGTAAAGAAGATGATTAGTCTTTTGAATAAATTCTGTACTGTCCATATCTTGTATTTAAAATATTAGTTTCCCTAAAAAATTATAGTGTGATGTAAGAGAGGGAGTATTAGGTATAGCTAGAACTTCCTTTTTTTTCAGGCTCAAAGTTCCAAGTTTTAAATAGTTGAAAGGAATATTTCTATTGTAGGTGGTAAGGTAACATATAAAATATGAAAAAGGAGAGAAGCAAGGCTATGGACCAAAATTGTCAAAGTTCCTCATGTTTGCTGAACTCACTTTCCTAAAAAAGGCTGAGTATTTAGGAATCCGACACCTACTGGGCTTACCTCTTATCAAACAGTGACTCAATTTACATTACTAGAACAAAGGTATTCTAACCCTGCTACTGTAAACTGAAAAATATTCTACTGATTCAACCCAAACTCCAGCAACTTACCAAAGGGAGGAGAGGCAGTCAATAGCATTTGGAAAATATTAAACTGCCAAGGCAGGAGGATCACAAGTTCAAAAACAGCCTCGGCAACTTAGTGAGGCCTTTGCAAGATAAAAAAACAAAAAAGGGCTGGGCATGTTGCTCAGTGGTTAAGTACCCCTGATACCAAAAAAGAAAAAAAAAAAAAAATTTACCACAAATATACCAGAGAAGCCATGAGGGTAAAATGGTGATGTTACCATTCTTTCATAAAATGCAGTGTTAAGCTAGTATTTGAAAAGGCAGGACTCTTTTCAAGTTCCAGGATTTTAACAAGTTGCATGCTAAGCACCCTATTCAAGCTTAAGGGAAAGACAGGCATTTTCAAGATACATTTCTCACCGTTTTAAAGTGGTACTATGGATGAACCACTACCCAGTGCTGTATTATTCCACCTGGAATTAATAACGATCAATTGGGAGGAGGTATTGTGACACAGGTGAGTAGGTTGGATGGTGTGGGAACCAGTTCTAATAGTCTCAACTTCATTCCAGCTGTTCCTGTTCCATACTGTCCGCAAAGCTGGCCCAGTCCCCTTCACTCAGTGTGTCACCAAAGGCAGCTTCAAGGCTCAATGGCAAGAGACCACCTATAACCTCTTCACCTTCTGCTGCCTCTTTCTGCTGCCACTAACTGCCATGGCCATCTGCTATAGCCGCATTGTCCTCAGTGTGTCCAGTCCTCGAACCAGAAAGGGGAGCCAGGGTGAGACTTCAATTCCCAGGTCTTAGTCCTATTCCCAGAACTGTTGCCTCTAGCTTCATTTATTTATCTACCCAACAGCTATATATCAGCCACTAAACCAAAGTAAGATGCTAGCACCTGACACTGGAGATAAACTTTATTGAATGCCTTCAATTCTAAACTGCCTCTAATTCAGTTGAGTAAACTAGGCAGAAATAGAGAAAAAGGTCATCAGTGTTCTTTATTATTTAACATCCTCAAGTCAACCTGTATACCTGGTGGCTTCACCTAACAGCATCTCCAACCAAAACCTCTCACCATCATGGTGGCAAATGCCTGTAATCCCAGCTACTAAGACAAGTTTGAGGCCAGCTTGGCCAATTTAGTGAGACCCTGTCTTAAAATACAATTTACAAGAAGGTCTGGGTATGTATTTCTGTGATAAAGCACTTTCCTAGTATGTGGGAAGCTCTAGATTCAATTCCCAGTATCACAAACAAAAACACCTTTTCTCAAGCATGTCTGTCATGTCATAGTGCCAGGTTGGGGAGGGTAAGAGGATTTACATCATTCTCTTCCTTGGTGGTGAGGGTTCCATTTCACTATCTGCCCTTCCATCAATTCACCCTACACACAGTTCAGAAGCTGAGTAGTTCTGAATTTCAGTATATTTTCTAAATTCCCAGCCCCTGCTGATGAATTTATCCTACGCCGCTCCTTAGACACTCGCCCCCGTGTTCGTCTTCGGGCCCTGCGACTGGCCCTCCTTGTTTTGCTGACCTTCGTCCTCTGCTGGACACCTTATTACCTACTGGGTCTGTGGTACTGGTTCTCCCCCACCATGCTAACTGAAGTCCCTCCCAGCCTCAGCCATATCCTTTTCCTCTTTGGCCTTCTCAATGCTCCTTTGGATCCTCTCCTCTATGGAGCCTTCACCCTCGGCTGCCGGAGAGGGCACCAAACACTCAGTAAAGACTCCTCCCAGGAAGGAGGGTCTGGGAGAATGCCCCAACAGGAGAGTAAAACCCTCAGACAGCTGAAAATGCAAACAATTGTGACATCAAGAGGAGGAGAAACAAAAGAGACATTCCTATAACATCCGTTTTCTCACAACGGAGTATAAAGAATAGTCATTACTCTCCAATACCCTAAGAACATCTCTCTGCTGCCCCTGTTTTTTTAGCTTCCAACAAAAGAAGTGCTGCAGAAGAACTGTTTTGACCTGAGATTTGAGACTATGTCTAAAGCAGAAACTCACAGAATTCAATCCTTAATAGAAGTATCTCCACAATGACCCATATTGCCTTACTATAAATAGTGCATCAGAGCTTCACTACTACAACATGAAAGTAATTTTAAATGTAGAAAACCAAAAACTAAAAAGGAACATTTATTCATGACTCAAAAGAAACAGTAAACAGGATAACAGTTTAAATATAAACAGAGTGAGTTCCACTTCAGCCCTATTTGTTGACGGCTTGCATAGCCAAATGGAATCTTGGAGAGACCACCTGGACAAGAGAGGAACTGTCAACGACGTCTCCGGTCTGGACTCCTGCTGCGCCTTCGGCCACCTCTAGGGAAAAAGGAAGGCAGGGAATTCATCATAGGATATAATAAAATGTCCTTGTTCAGTTTTATTCATGTCCCTTCACCAACAGTGTTTGCCCTCTCCATTTTACCTTCTCTTGCCTTTGGGTGGACCTCGAACAAAACACCAATCTACGCTGATCTGCTGTCCCATCAAATCCTGGCCATTGAGTCCTTCCATAGCAGCCTGGGCTTCTTTGTATGTTTCATATTCAACTAGAGTATAACCCTGGGTAAGTGAAAAGTAAGATGTTAAAACCTTCCTGTTTTACCAAGCATCAAGTATCCTCATCCTCAAATATAAATTCATACTTAAAAAGAAAAATCTAAAAGCTTTACACAATGAATGTACATCCTATGTCCCTACTGTACACAGGTGTCTGTTTTGTTTGTCTCCGTCTCTTTTCTTTGTCCAACAAAATCAATTTCCTATGTCATTTTATTTGAACCGCAGCAAACAGAACCACCAAGGCCAAGGGGAAAGGAAGGCAATAACGGGTCGCTTAGGATACCTTCAGGTATCCTGTGCGCCTATCCAGGTTAAGGTGGATGTTTTTTATTTCGCCATATTCTGCAAATTTGTCATGAATGTCTTCTTCAGTGGCTTCCTCATGGACTCCAGTGACAAAGAGAATCCAGCCTTCAACAGCTGTTGGGGAAGAAAGGGTGGCTGTGTGCGCGCCTGGGACAGGGGACTGCAGTAAGTGCAGACTCGGGAGTGAGTCTCATCTCGGGGAGCTCGGGTTTTAACTGCCCACAGACTCGCTCTCGGCAGGCTCCACCTTACTCACAGCGCTGGGGTCCAGGTTCATCGCCGTCCTGCTCCACGCTGTCATAATCCTCTCGCATCCGCGCTCGGGACCCCTCTTCTATAGAGAACACAACCAGATCACGGAGACTCTCCCCGGAGTCCCGGGGGCCCCAACTCCGCTCCCGCCGACAAGCCTCTCGACCTCAAGTCCCCACACTCACCTGAACCAAAGCCGCGGCCCTTCCTTTTCTTCGCTTTTTCTTTAAGTTTGTGGATACTCTCTGAAGCCCCAGAGGAGAAAGGATGGGTAACAAGAGAGTCACTTATGACAACTGTATCCCAACAAGCCGAGAGCGTGAGCCGCCGCCAGGCTGTCCCCTCCGGGCCCGCCCCGTTCCTTCCGAAGGGGGAGGAGTCTCGCACCGAGACCGCACTCCCGCTCCCATCCGTCCGCCCCAAGACCTTTTTCCTGTTACACTCTTCTCTCGCACCTTCCCCGCTTCCCGTAGCCGCCTCCACTGTCCTCACCGTCCCCATCCTCATCCATGGCGAAATCCTCGCCTCCGGCCTCATGAAGATCCAGCACGTCAGCCATCTTGCCTCTGTACTAGCGCTCGTCCGCACCGCCGGGGAACTGGGCACCTCGGCAGGCTGTCGCAGAGGGGAAAGGTCGCCAAGCTGACCAATCACAGCCCACCTTTAAGTCCCGCCCTCGGCGCGGTAAAAGTACGCACTAAGGGCGGGCCCACTTCAAAAACATGCCGGAAGCACTTGGTAGCCATCTTGGTAGGTCACGAGCGAGACCAGCTGAATTGGCAGGGACAAACTAGGAGGAGTCAATGGCTTCCGTTTAATCTTGAGACCGGGCCTAATTCCTTGCTGAAGGGCAGCTTTCATTCCAAAGTAGGGAATGGAAGAATTTAAAAGTTTTTTATCTTAAAAATTCTAGGCCTGTACCCTGTTCTGAGAAGCACCCCATCCATGATAGAAGCCTTAAAAAGAAGAGAGAAGAGGTTCAGATCAGGGCTGGGGAGGTAGCTCGGCGGTGGCGCGCTGGCCTAGCAGGTGCGAGACCCGGGAATCACATCCCACGCCGCAGAAAAGGTTTAGCTGCTCCAGGCCGGAGGCTGAGGCTGGAGGATCGCAAGTTCGGAGCCAGCTTCAGCAACTTAGCGGGGCCCTGAACAACTCGGTGAAACCCTGTCTCTAAGTAAGTCATAAAAAGGGCTGGGGATGGGGCTCAGTGGCTAAACGGCCCTGGGTTCGTCCCTGGACCAAAAAAAAAAAAAAACCCAAAACAGAAACAAAACACCTCCCAGAACGGACTGCCAGCCCCGAATTTCTTCCCAAGAAAACCAACAGGCTGCGGTTGAAACCCGGCTGTAGGGGATGAAACCAGGGGCGCTCTACCACTGAAATACCTCCTCAGACCCCTTTTTACTTTTTATTTGGAGACAGATCTTGCTAAATTGCTGAGGCCATCCGCATACTTAATCCTCCTGCCAGCCTCCGGAGTCTGGGATTACAGTAGTGGGCTAACCATGCCTGGATAATTTTTTTTTTTTTAAGCTATATCTTTCAAACGCTCCCTGCCACCCTCTGGAAATTAAGGAAGGAAAGGCATGGCCTTAAATAAAATAATGGCTTTAGTTCTTTGATGATGGAACAGGTGTTCTACCTTCAAAAACCTAGGAGTTGAAGTAAAACCCATATTGCCCCCAAGTTCTGGAATCCTTATGTACACCTTCAACAATAGCAGGCTGCAGATTCACTTATTAATCGAATAGTTATGCATATATGTGTGTCTAATATTAGAAGAAGTGCTGGCAAGAGGATAAATAATTGCATTGATAGCACTCACTATATATAGTACACTATGAAAGTGATAACTGCTATCATAATGGCAGTATCAAAAACATTTCTGGGACTAAGAGGGTTTAGCATTTTAACTGGGCCTTTGGAGATGAGTAGTTTTACAGGCAAAACAGTTGTATACAGCAGTTGTATACATTACATAGTCTAATCTTTAAAAGTTATCTGGTTACATTCCTATTTTAAAAGTCCTTCCCTTGATTTTGTTGCACTTAGAATAAAATTAAAACTTACGTAGCTAACTGTCCCTATGTCTCCAGTTTTGTCACCTGAGATTCTCCCTCACTCACTAAGCCCTTCCTATACTATCCCTTAACTCATCTCTGGGCATTTGCAACTTTCTGTTCCTGATGCTTTTCCTCCAGCCTTTCACGTGGCTAGCTCAACCTCATTCTTTAGGTCTGAATACTACTGTCACTAGGGGGTTTTGTTTCTTTTCTTTGTGGTACTGGAATTGAACCCAGGGGTGCTTACCCACTGAGGTATATCCCCAGCCCTTTTATGTTTTATTTTGAGGAAGTCTCTCACTAAGTTGCTTAAGGCCTAAATAAGTTGCTGAAGCTGGCTTTGAACTTGTGATCCTCCTACCGTAACCTCCCAAATTGCTGGGATTACAGGTGTGTGCCACTACACCAGGCACCAAAGGGGTTTTCATCCTTCTAGGAGTTAAGTCTGTTTTATTTCCTTCACAGAACTTAAACCAGAATCTTTAATTATCTTGTTTACTTTCAACCTTGTGTATTGCCTTTTTTTTCCCCCATTAGCTTGTATTCCTTTTGGCAGAGATGCTTAGTTAGAATTATATCTGCAAGTTTATCCCAGTACCTGGCTCATAGTAGGTATATGGTAAATACTTCATGAATGGATAAACATCAAATGGAAAGGAGAAGGAAAACTGCTGATTGGTAAAGACTACAGAAGGTGGAACCCAGTTCTAACAAATGTCAAACAGCAATAAATTTAGGGGCAGCATTTTTTCTTTTGTTGTTCTCTGCTTGGAGATCAATATCTATCTCTCTATCTCTCTCTCTCTCTCTCTCTCTCTCTCTCTCTCTCTCTCCTCTGCCTGACTTAAGTCAATAAGATTTGTCACATTCCTCAACAAACTACCTATTATCTGTAGGAGAAATGAAGACCCAAAATAATGTGGATGAGAGAGAGAGAGAGAGAGTTTTACTTTACTGTCACTTTATTTTCCTTTATAAGAAAATTCCTTTATAAGAAAATTCTCCTACTAGGTTTTTTGTGTCTAACTTTAGATTTCCTCTTGTCAGGACACATGTACAGAGGTTTGGAGCTTCAGGTTCCTACCCTCCTGTGACAGTGTCACAGAAAATAATCTAATGACCCATTAGGTTTTAGGAAAAAGGAAGAGCATTGTTAGTAAGTGAAAGGTGAAGGTAGACATTCTCAGAGAGTGAGCAGCAGTCTTGGGCTCTTCTTTGAGGGGGAAACTTTGTAAGGTATGAGTATAGGGTGGTGGCCTGTGGATGGTTCTGGCCTGGTGATATCAAGATGGTTTTTGGTGGTCTGGCCATTCTCAGGATCTTCAGGTCGATGTTTCCTCTATCTAATCAATAGATGATGTTGGGAATGTAGCTATGTTATAGGTGTCTTAAAATATTGTATCTCCCTTTATTTATTCTAAAAATACATGTACTAGTATGTTACATAGGCTAAATAACAGTGTCAGAGCAATTTTCATAAAGAATGAATTGTAGTAACTAAGATTTTTGAGTCAATTTATAGTAACTTTAAGGTTTATAGATCTCTTGGGGTTGGTTGGCTCAGAGGTAGAACACTCGCCTCATATGTGCAAGGCCCTGGGTTCGATCCTCAGCACCACGTAAAAATAAGTAAATAAAAAAAGGTATTGTGTCCAACTACAACTAAAAAATAAATATTTTTTTTAGAAAGATTTATTTGGGTTCAATCCTCAGCACCACATACAAATAAAGATGTTGTGTCCGCTGAAAACTAAAAAATATATATTAAATTCATTCTCTCTCTCTCTCAAAAAAAAAAAAAAAAGATTTATAGATCTCTCAAAACTGGGAGTGACAAGCCTAAGGGAAAAAGCCAGCCTGGGGAGAAAAAAAATGTCTGAGAAACTTTAGCAAAATGCTTCCAGATTAAAGTTACAGTCTATTTTTCCTTCCCTTTTGTCCTCTTTCTATTTCTCTTTTATTTCTTTTCATTCCTACCTCACAATAGCCTCAGTTCCTTCCTCGGGACCCCATTTCCTAAGTGTTCCACCACTTAGGATAGCATCACAGGCCAGAGACCAACTTTTCAACCCCTGAGCCTTTAGAGACATTTAAGATACAAACCATAACAATTTTCAAGCATTGAGTTGTGTTATTGTTCTTTTAATTTGTTATTAGTTTATAGGTTTATTGCAGTGTGCATTATGTCTAAGAAATGTCGCTTGTACTGATTTCTGCTTTTTGAAATTATTAGAGGTTTCCTTGTCGCCTAGAATAAGATCGATTTTGAAAAGAAATTCATTATTTATCATAAAAAAGGTATATCAAGCACCCCCCAATCGAGTTCAATGTTCAGTATATAGTAAAAAATTGGTTTTTAGGGAACATGAACACTAAGTAATTAAATATTAATTTATCTTGTGTATTTATTCAAAGTCTCTCTGTCATTGATTTTTACGATATTATCTATCAGCCAGTCTCCTAGTTTATATTTTGCTTTCTCCCTTAGCCCTTTCCTGAATAAAATAGAGTTAGGGCAGATGTGTTAACATCTTCCATTTTGACTAGAGTTCTGGCATTTTTCTTTGACTTTCAACCATTTGCATTCTAGCATTTTCATGCTGTGTTACACAGGACATAAATATTTATGTGTACTATAATTTCACTGTGGATTGCATTAGACATCAGTGTAATAAACCTCCCCCCCCCTGCAAAAGAAATTCTGTATGCCTGATGCTGTGTGACTGGGAAATAAGTCTGGAGGCATAGTTTAGGGTCAAATTGCCATACTAAGTATTTTGAAATTTTTCCTATAAACAAATTTCTCTACTTCAAATATTTTTTGAGTACTCATGATTTTTAATATTTGCAGGTAGTCCCTATATTATTTTTGCTTACTATTCTTCATTAAATAGGTTTTGTAAGCACAAATTTACACCAACAGGAAATTTTAATATTACTTCCATAAGTGAAAACCAATATTTTTCTACTATAAATTCAGATAAAAGCATAATTATTGAAGACTAATAAAAAATATAACCTAAAATCATCTCAGGTAACATTAATGGTTCCCATCTAAAACTTTTGGAAGTATTCCTCAAAGTAAAAACAGCTAAACAATGGTTTAAGGACATGAATGGCAGTAGTATTTCAGTAAGGAATATCAGAGTAAAGTGAAGGATATTAAGGAACATAAAAACCAATTAGGAAGCTATTGCAGTATCCAGTCCAGATATGAGAAAGAAATGAACTATGACGGTAAATACGGACAAAACAATTTATATAGGAGGTAGACTCCAGAGTAGTGTCTGGCCAGGTGTGGTGGTATGCGCCTTGTAATCCCAGCCATTTGGGAGGCTGAGGTCGAAGGATTATGAGTTCAAAGCCAGCCTCAGCAATTTAGTGAAGCCCTAAGCAATTCAGTGAGACCCTGTCTCTAGATAAAATATTAAAAAAAAAAAAAGGGCTGGGGATGTGGCTCAGTGGCTAAGCACCCCTGGGTTCAAACCCTGGTACCGGAAAAAAGAGTAGTATCTGATTGAATGATGGACCTAAAGTTTCTAGCTTAGAAAATTAGGTAGATAATAATTCCAATAACAGATTTAGAACATCAAAGAGGAGCAAGTTTGGAAAAATGGGCTCTACTTTTGATATGTGATGTCATGGTACTCCTGTCACCTCCAGGTAGTGAAGTCCGGCATGTGGAAGTATAGATGTAAAAGCTCAGAACAAGTTGGGTTGGAAGAAATAGATTGTAGAATTGTGTGTATAGAGGAGTTTAAATCACTGTAGTTGTGAGAGAATGGGAATGAGTAGAGCTGAAGAGAAAGGGCCAAGGACAAAATTCAGGCTCCATTCCAGGCACAGTGGCACACGCCTGTAATCCCAGTGGCTAAAGAGCTGAGGCAGGAGGATCAAAAGTTCAAAGCCAGCTTCAGCAATTTAGTGAGGCACCAAAGCAACTTAGACCTTGTCTCAAAAATTAAAAGGGTTAGGGATGTGGCTTATTAGTTAAGCACCCCAGGGTACTATCCCCGGTACCAAGGAGAAAAAAAAAATCAGACTCCTTAAATGTCTAGAGAAGGGGAGGCAGAATGCCTTTCCCCTGCAGTGCAATTTTATTTTTACCACTCCCAAAATACTCAGAATTCTTCTGTAATGTGTAAATGAATGGAGCCATTTTAGGCTTCTCTGATACATAGGTCTCAAGAAAGAGTCATTCTGGCTCACTAGACAAAAATCTATTTTAATTATATAAAATTATACATATAAAATACATAGAAAGCATTAGAAGATAACTAAAATCTTTGACAACAAAAATGGACAGATAAGGGAACAATTTTTCTCAAATTCTTTGGGATTTGGGGGTATTTGATAAAAAGAATAAATCTAGGAAGTACAAGGACAATTCTTCCCAAAACTCACACCCTTAACACTTCTTCCCAGAGAAAGGAGCACAGGAGAAACTGGAGGGTTTATGATTGGGGGGGGGATTATAAATATAAATAAAACCAGATATACCTATTATTTAATGTAGGAGCTCTACTCCAATATTACATGTGTTTCATGGAATATAAAGATGGGGCTTAGAGAATCAAGGAAGCCACTTTCAAGCACTAATAAAATTGTAGCTGGATTCTTTATCTCTGATTCCATATGTACTGGTCACCAAGATGATTCCAAAAGCAAGAAATCTGCCTTTCATCTTGTTATCTAATCCAAAGAGCAAAGTGGTCTGTTTCCTAATCTACTTTTAAAAGAAAATTCTGTATAAATAAAAAGTCCAAATGCAGAAGCATTAAACTTCCCAAACTCAGTTTGGAAAGTGCACTGAACAATAATATATAAAGGAGATCACAGAAGCAAAGGGGGAAATCTATCTTAGCACATATAGTTTTCCAAAAGGAGAATGCTCTTTCTGTACTCTAGATCACTTCTTACTTTACCCAAGAAAGAGCTGGAGAGAAGAACCATATTAAAACACAAATAGCTGATCATTGATTCTCTTTCCCCTCTTGCAGACTCCTAAGTTTTCAATTAGGAAGTACCAAAATGCCAAAGGTTTATCTTATTTTCCTAATCAACTCGTGTTCTAATAATCAGTGTGGAGGAAAAGGAAAAGAAAGAAATAAGAATCTAAGCTACGTACATCTAAGGCAGTAAACAGTACCAATTTGGTGGTAGGGAGAGAAATCTGGCCCTCACTTAACAAATGGAACAGATATTACTTTTAAAGAGCAAAATAATGTGGATGGTGGTCAGGATAGAAGTTTACTTTCTACCAGTCTCTGCAGGTAGAAGGTTTAAGGTTTAACTAAACTAGGCGAGCAGGGGAGAAGTGAAAAGGGAATACTGAATGATAACCAGCCTAACCCCCTACCCCCATCTTACTATAGAGTATTTCTAGAAATCTGGACTTCCAAAATCATAGAGATTGCTTCCAAGCAAATTAGGAAGTAACCCCATGAATTGTGTTTATAATTCCTCTTGTATTGATGGGCAATTTCTCAGGAATGATTTTAAAAAAATAAACCAGATTTTCACTCCTTTCTGAATAATAGGGTAGGGAACCCTCAAAACAAAGGGTTAGTAGAGACAAAGGAGTAAGGTAGTGGTGGGGACAGGGAGGATACCAAGCAGATCCAGCTCAAGATAAACCAAAGCCAAAGATTTCTTACTCATACCCTGTTTGAGACCAAAAAAAAAAAAAAAAAGCAAGAATGAGGGTGAGGGTGGGGTACATAGGTATACCCGTTATTTTAAAGGGAGACGTGAACACTTGATCATACTGTGTTATTGAAATGACTATACAGAATTAATCTGGAAGTGTACAAGCTCCAAAGACAGCCTGCTCTTTCTCATAAAGTGAATGGAGAGGTCCCCAAACCTGGAAGTTAGAAAAGAGATCTCCTAGCAAATGGGAATCCAGGTGTGGTTTATACATATATATATATATATATCTATATTTTAAAGTATAAAATTGAGTAAGTATGTACAGAAATCATCCTAAGTCTTAGAGAGGAGACATACAAAAAAGGTCCAGGAAAGGAGAGGGAGTATGAAGGTAGATGCCTAGCAGTTGGAAGAATGCATATTGCCCAACTGCCCAGCAGCCAGCATGAGAATATCTTTCTTCTCCTTGTGGAAGCGCAGCTCCTTGCCTGCCAGCCGGGCTTCATCCAATTCCCGTTCAGTGGAGGCCAGCTCTCTAGAAAGTGCCCCTGGCACACTCTGCTCCCGGCTCACCCAGTCCAAGGCCATTTGGTGGCGAATATCGTCATCTAGGGCTCGGTGGGAATAATGAGCCAACACCTCCTGGTTGCAGAGAGGAATTGAAGATCACTGAGAAGATAAAGGTTCATATCATGCCACACAGACCCACCTGGGACTAGTCTCTTAGCTCTGGGGTCCTCACTGAAGCAGCACCTAAGGCCCTCCAGGGAGATTCCTAAGGAAGACTTCCTGGTGGAGTGAGGTGAAGAGGGCACTGAAGGCTTTCAGCCTTCGCCACCCGTCCCCCAGGCTTGCTTCCCTTACCACAGCAGCGACCCTGTCCCTCTCACTGAGATCTCTTACCTGCCGAGAGCACTGTCTTTCCCTCATGGCCTTCAGGCTGCCATTCCAGTGCAACAGCTGAAACACTGTCATTAGCTCCTGGGGGAAGAAGATATGTAGTACCAGGACAGTGATTTTTTTAAAAAAATTTTTCCTTTAAAAATTTTTTTTGGGGGCTGGGGAGGTGGCTCAAGCGGTAGCGCGCTCGCCTGGCATGCGTGCGGCCCGGGTTCAATCCTCAGCACCACATACCAACAAAGATGTTGTGTCCGTGGATAACTAAGAAATAAATATTAAAATTTAAAAAAAAAATGTTTTTTCTTAGTTGTTGATAGATCTTTATTTTATTTATTTATACCTGGTGCTGAGAATCTAACCCAGTACCTCACACATGCCAGGCAAGTGCACTACTGCCGAGTCACAATCTCAGCCCAGGACAGTGACTCTGATATTGGTAGAATCACATGGAAATTTTTTTACAAAATATATTTGTGGAAGCATCTCTAATCACCAACTCTGATATATCCCTGGGGGAAGGAAGTATTTATATTTTGAAAAATATTCTACTTCCTTTTCCTTCCTTTTTAAAAAGTCTAATTATAGTAGAGATTAGTAGGAGGCATTATGTGTACATTAACAGTCTGACCATGTTATTAGAGCCAGGGAAGTAGTTGAATAGTACCTGGAACTCCAACATTGACTTGCCCTTGTTGGATTCTAACATAAATCGGAAGGCACCAATGCCTGTATTTGGGTTGTCAGCTTCCTCCCTGTTGCCCTGGTAACAGAGGAAAAGAAAAGACAAATAGATTTCCAATTGGAATTGTCATCTTGAGCAGCACTATCCAACAAAAAAACATGAGCCACATATTTAATTTTAGATTTCACAGTTGCCACATTATAGAAAAAAAATTTTTTAGTTGTAGATGGACAGGATACCTTTATTTTATTTATTTATTTTTATGTGGTGCTGAGGCTCGAACCCAGGGCCTCATGCGTGCTAGGCGAGTGCTCTACTCTGAGCCAGAACCCCAGCCTTTTATGTCTTTTACATTTTTTGAACCAAGTTTTTGAAACATATTTTATACTTAAAATACATCTCAATTCTTACCCAGAGGTACTTTACCATTGAATTACATCCTGGTCCTTTTATTTTTAAAAATTATTCCCAACACATTAAATTGGAGGCTTTAACTGGAAGGGAAAATGTAATCTTTAAAATTAGGTTTTAGGGGGCTGGGATTGTGGCTCAGTGGTAGAGAGCTTGCCTAGCATGTGTGAGGCACCAGGTTCAATTCTCAGCACCACTTATAAATAAATAAAATAAAGACCATTGACAACTAAAAAATATTCTTAAAAAAGATTGAAAACTTAAAAAACAATTAGGCTTTAGAACTCTGAAGCAAGTAACTATTTTATTTGTGCCAGTAATTGTTCACTGTGACACCTTATTTAGTGCTTACCAAACTTTTCCATGACATGGCACATATGAAATAATCCTTATCTGTATAGCTAACTGAGTATACAGAAGAGGTTGCTGGCAAGCACAGTGACTTCAAACAGAGGAGTCCATCCATCCCAGGCATTGCCCAGTCTCCTGAGAGCTGAGGGGTTCAAAATCATGGCACACCTGTAATCAATCTGGAATATATCAGACTAGATGGGATTACAGGGATACACCAACACACTGGGCTCCCCTGACTCCTTAACTCCTCACCTCCCAAATGGCGTCTTACTATGTTGCCCAGGATAGCCTCCAACTCCTGGGCTCAAGTTATCCTCCTGCCTCAGCATCCCTAGTAGCTGGGACTACAGGCACGCATATCATGACCAGCTGTAGATATGATGACGTTCTTTTTTTTCTTTTTTTCTTTTTTTTTTTGCACCAAGAATTGAACTCAGGGGCACTTGGCCACTGAGCCACATCCCCAAGCCCTGTTTTTAAAATTTTATTTAGAGACAGGGTCTCACTGAGTTGCTTAGCACCTCACCATTGCTGAGGCTGGCTTTGAACTCGCAATCCTCCTGTCTCAGTTTCCCAAACTGCTGGGATTACAGGCATGTGTCCCCCGCACCCAGCCATGATGATATTCTTGATCCATGGAATCAACCAGTCATGAAATCTGCCCTACTTGTAGACTTCCTGTCATTTTAAATAATGAATTTCCTTTCTTTGCTAATTTCCTTAATTTGATGTGGGATTTTCTGTTACTTGCATTTAAACTGATAACGTGTTAAGTGCTTAAATATCTCTTTTATCCATTAACCTTATGTGTCATGTGTAATTTTTAACCTATTTGGTAGATGAGAAAACAGACTTGATGAGATAACTTGCTCAAAGTTATATAGCTGGTAGAACCATAATTTCAATACAGTAAATTCAGAGCCTATATGCTAGTGCACATCCTGCTTTCTATAATCCAAACAAATATTTTATTTTATAATACCATTAGATGAAGAGTGGCAAATGCACTTTCCTGATTTTGAACTGACTGATTTAAAATGATTTTATTAATCAGGTAGTGGTCAAGTCACTCAGGATTCTGAGGCAGGAAGATCCCAAGTTCAAGGCCATCCACAGCAATTTAGCAAAACCCTAAGCAGTTTAGAGAGACCCTGTTGCAAAATAAAAATAAAAAGGGATGGGGATGTAGCTCAGGGGAAGAGCACCCCTGGGTTCAATTCCCACTATCAAAACTGTAAGAAAATAAAATAAAATTGTTATTCTCTAAGGATGCTGTTGATTAGGATAAAGAATAATGGGAGGAAAACAGATGGGTTCTAAGTAACAGAGGAAAGACAAATTGTGATTTACAGTGTTCAACAACTAATCTATAAAATTCATAAATAAAGCAGTTTAGCGTTATGTAATTACACCTTAACTAAATGTAAACAGAACAGAAACAGAGAATCAGTCTGACTTTTTCACCCTGTCGGTGGTCTGTAGGGAGGAAGGAAGAAAGCAGTGTTCTTTCCTAGGAGGCATCCTCAGTTAGATCTATCTGTATCCTATCGTGGTGTATCACTTACTCACTATATCACTTTAAGCAAAACTTCACTTCTGTGGTTTAGTCTTTTCATCTGTTAAACAGGGGTAATAATAATACTTATACTTCCAGGGTTATCGTAATGATCAAATGAGATAAAGTACATAAAAATCCCTTATACTGGTCCCTGTTATTTATGATTATTATCACATCACCATGATAATTTGAAAGAACAAATGTTCTTTTTAAAAATATTTTTTAAATGTGGATGTGTAACCAATGCGATTCTGCAATCTATAATTGGGGTAAAAATGGGAGTTCATAACCCACTTGAATCTAATGTATGAAATATGATATGTCAAGAGCTTTGTAATGTTTTGAACAACCAATAAAAATATATATATATAATTTGATCCTAAAAAAATATTTTTTAGTTGTCAATGGACCTTTATTTTTTTTATTTATTTATATGCAGCACTGAGAATCAACCCAATGCCTCACACATGCTACGCAAAGCTCTACCAGTGAGCCACATCCCTAGCCCCTAGATGTTCCTTTTAAAGAAAGTAGATAATTTGGGGTTGGGGCTGTGACTCAGTGGTAGAGCACTCGCCTAGTGTGTGCGAGGCCCGAGGTTCGATCCTCAGCACCACATAAAGAAATAAAATAAAGAAGCGTGGCTAACAAAAAAAAAAAAAAAAGAAGAAGAAGAAGAAGAAAAGGAAGTAGAAAATTCTCCTGTTCCTAAAAGGGAAAATGATAAAACATTGTATAAAAAAAGGGGTTCTTTTAAAAAATATATTTTTATTAGGGCTGGGGTTGTGGTTTAGCGGTAGTGCACTTGCCTGGTTTGTGTGAGGCACTGGGTTCAATTCTCAGCACCACATATAAATAAATAAAATAAAGGTCTATCAAAAACAACAACAAGGGCTGGGGATGTGGTTCAAGCGGTAGCGCGCCGGTCTGGCATGCGCGCGGCCCAGGTTCAATCCTCAGCACCACATACCAACAAAGATGTTGTGTCCACCGATAACTAAAAAATAAATATTAAAATTCAAAAAAAAAAAACAACAACAAAAAATCTTTATTGAACCCAGTACCTCACACAAGCTAGGCAAGTGCTCTACTACTGAACCACAACCCCAGCCCCCCCAAAAAGGGGTTCTTTTTCTTTTATCAGTATTTTTGTTTATTTATTTTTAACTCTATTTATTTATATTTTATGTGGTGCTGAGGTTTGAACCCAGGGCCCCACACGTGCTAGGCAAGCGCTCTACCACTGAGCCCCAGCCCCAGCCCTATAAAGGGGTTCTTTATTGATAAGTTGAAGTAATGGAGGAGGGAAACAAGTACAATAAACGCAGTCATATGGGATAGAACAGCTCTCACACACTTCCTCTTGCCATGTAATACCTGGTACCACCTCACCAGCAAGAAAGCCACCTCCAGATGAATCCCCTCATCCTTGGACCAAAATCATGAGTCAAAATAAATGTTCTTTTCTGTATAACTTAAAAAAAAAAAAAGGTCTTGGGGTGGAGCTCAGTGATAGAACACTTGCTTAGCGTGTGTAAAGCCATGGTTCCATCCCTAGCACCACAAAAAAAATGTAGGGGAAGGGGTATACCTCAGTGATACAGTGCTTGCCTAGCAGACACTCGGTTCAATCCCTAGCACCACAAAAAAAAAAAAAAAAAAAATCCTCTTTTTTTAGTGAAAAATTATAAGTGACCAGGGTTTTAAATCAAAATTATGAAAAACAAAATTCAAGCTCAATTTTCATTTATTAAGGAGCTCTAGAATACCATAAATGTTCAATTAAATGTTTCTAGACACCAAAAAGGCAATGAAAGAGACTACACATCAAAAAAGCATATAAACGGGCTGGGGATGTGGCTCAAGCGGTAGCGCGCTCGCCTGCCATGCGTGCGACCCGGGTTCGATCCTCAGCACCACATACCAACAAAGATGTTGTGTCCTCCGAAAACTAAAAAATAAATATTAAAAATTCTCTCTCTCTCTCTCTCTCTCTCTCTCCTCTCTCACTCTCTCTTTAAAAAAAAAACATATAAACATAGGTATGAAATTAGGGACAGAGATATAAGGAACGTATGACATACAAAAAATTAACAGATAATCAGCAGAACAGAGATGTAGACAGAAAAGAAAACAAGGACCCAGTTTTCCCATCCCCTACTCTCCTTCCTTCCAGTTCCAAGTACTTACATTGAAAGATGCCAGGGCCTCAGAGACACTCTTCTCAATGAACTCATCAGTGATTCTTCGGGAAGGATGTTCATTAAACACAGAGTTCATTAATGCAATCTTTGCAGCACTCCTCCTGGCCTCCGCTTTTGTGGGGCAAAACTAGGCAGAGAAGAGAAAGTGAGAATATGTGTACAAGTGTATCTGAGAGAGAGGAAGAAACAGTGGGAGGGAGACACTTAAGATAGAGAACAAAGTGGACACTCTTTAGATAAATCACTTGTGTTCAACACACTTTACAAAGTTTTTATTGTAAAATGATTGAGATGTTTGGAAACAGACTTTTGATTCAACATCCTGAAGTCATTAAAGAACTGGAGACGACTACAGCTCCTAGAAAACTGAATCAGAACTAGTAGGGCCGCTGAAGTCAGCACATGACCGCTAGACTTGAAAAATACCTCTGTTTAAACTGTCAACAATTTCTCCAAAGTCAGATTCTGGCCAGCTTATTAGAAATCTGTATCTTGTTCTCTTGTTCTCTAGACAAGCAAGATTTTTGGATTCCTCTAGATAATCCAAGATTAGAACAAAGCTGTCTGTAGGCTGCTTCTGCAGAGAAGGCCTCTTGTCTCTATCAGGCACCTATCTGGGATTCATGGATTTCACTTTCAGCTATGAACACGCATTTCCCCCGATAATGTCATGAGCCAAAGGACTTATCCCAGAAGAGGTCTGAGTAAATTTAGCCTTCTTCCCAGCATTGGAAGCAAGGAGAATAGAGGTGGCTAGGAAAGGAAAGCAAGAAAAACTTAAAAATTAACTCATGTTTTTACATTATTTCTACCAGGTTATCACAGGGAAACTTTGGTTTTCAAAAGTCTTAACTCTTTCTGTTAAGGTCTGTAAACAAGTCAAAATAACACCTAGTATTTTGCCAGGGGAATGTTAGAGTTTGTAAACAAGTCTGGATGGTGCCTGGCAAAATGCCAGAGGGAGTGGTTTGAGAAGTAACAAAAGCAGCCATTAAGTGTGGAGATTCCTTATTGGTTGACTGATGTATCTAGTTTATGCTAATTAAGATAAGCTGTGCAAAATGTATAAATAGCTCTGTTGTCCTACAATAAACGGCTTCCATTCCTGCTGCATCAACGTTCACAAGTTATTTGTCACACACACACACACACACACACACACACACACACACACCCGTTATTCTGCTGCAGCCGGACTGCGGCATCTTTCAACTTCACATTTCTGGCTACCAGAGTATTCCTTTATAATCCACCTTTGCTGGCCGCTTCAAAGACCCCTGTGCCCTTGTCATTTATGTTTTAAGATTAGAAGAAGGACAGTTAATGTTGCAGTTTTAGAAATTAGACCAGGATATGTTCAGCACTTTGCCATCCTTATTATCATTAAATGTCTAACTTCCTTTAGCTGACAGTCCTCTCTGGAACAATATATGGAGCTTCACACATTAACCCTAAGTCTTTTGGCTTCTTTAGTTTTTCTGTTTCTACTTTTCTATTTCTAATCTGCTGCCCACTCCACTCATTAGTGCTTTTTCTGAAAAAGTTATCTGTGAAGAAAACCACCAGGAAAAATTTCACCTACCAAAGTGGATATAAAATATGTAAGCTAAAAAAATCCAAGATAGATAATTCTACTCTTTTAGAAAATAACAGAAATCAAATCACTATAATTGTTCAATTATGGGCATCATTATAAAATTATTAAATCATTATTTAGCATTGTGATATGGTGGGAAAGAGGAGGAAAGATATTTTCTCTAATAAGAGAAAGCATAAGCCAGGTGCAGTTGCACATGCCTGTGATCCCCAGCTACTCAAGAGGGTAAGGTAGAGAGGCACAAGTTCAAGGACAGCCTGGGGCAGCTTAGTGAGAGGCTCTGTTTAAAAAAAAAAAAAAAGGGTTGAATATGTAGCTCCTGGTAGAGCCTCTGGGTTCAATCCCTAGTACCATAAAAAAGTATAAATATTAGTTATCTGGGACATATATTTATTTCTCTGAAGTAGCTGAGGTTCTGAGGGAAAAATTTTTAGTCACCTGATTTGAAATGTTTCTGTCTGAGGCAGGAATTGAGCTGCAGTGGCTCTCATTCATGCAACAGATTTATCAGGTACCTACTATGTGCTGGGTTCTGAAACTGGTAATGAGAATCCAGTAGTAAATAAGAAAGTAGACTTAGCATGCATAATGTCCTGGGTTTGATCCCTGGCATCACAAACAAACAATGATGACAACAAAAATACCCAGAAAGGAACAACATATCATGTCTCTTTCATGTTATAGATGGGAAAACTGAGGCCAGAGGGCAATCAAGAGAATGAAAATTTAATCACCTAACTCTTAGATGAGGAGGAGCTCTCTACCTCACCATAATCAGCCACTCCCCTCTGATCTCTTAGAGAATTCAAACATTGCTTTTTTTTGTAAATACCTGTGAAAAACTACTGGGGGGTGGGAGGAAAGGGAATATTGATCTATATCCTCAAGAAGACACAGCAAGAAGTTGGAATGCAATAATGGAACCAGATCAGAATAAGGGTCGGATGCTAATAGTCTGATATATTCAGTGTTTGTGCAAAATCAAAATTGGTTTGAGGGGCTGGGGTTGGCAGAGCACTTGCCTAGCATGTGTGAGGCACTGGGTTTGATCCTCAGCACCACATATAAATAAGTAAAATAAAGGTATTATGTCCATCTATAACTAAAAAATAAATAAATAAATAGGTTTGATTTTTGCAGGCTGAAAGAAAAACATGCTACTGATGTGATTTTGTGATCCAATGAGCTTCAGATGCTTGTGAGAATGATTTTTCCAGATTGGCTTAAGTCCTCAAATATGTGATTTCATGCAGAAATGTAATGGCCAAAGTGATAAAGTTCTTATTAGCACCTAAGATTCAGCTTTACCACTGCTGCCTCACAACTCTTACCTGGAAACTCCCAAAGCAACTTCCCCCAGGTAGGGTGACATAGCAGACATAGGGAGGGCTGTTGGAGGGAACCATCTCATAAACCACTAGAGCCCCATTTTTCAAGTCAGCCCCACGGGACTGTTTCATCTGCCAGAATTCCTGAAGCGCCTCCACCACATTCACTATAAAAAAGAAGAAGAAGAAGAAAGAAAAAGAAGTAGTTAAGTTCAGCAACAATCACACCTCTAAGTGGTGCTATACTTCAGTATGGTACCTGTAATCTGCACATACACTAAGAGTTCCTTAACTTCCTATCTTTTGCCACTTAGACCCATTTAAATTGGGGCTGGGGATGTAGCTTAGTGGTACAGCACTTGCCCTGGGTTCAATCCCCAGCACTGCAAAACAAACTAGAAAAAAAGTAATTTAAATTAATAAACGTAGAATATGATCAAGCTAATTTGTATAGGAAGACCAGATTAAGCCTGTCCTCCTCTCCTCCACTCTCCAGATCACACTTTGATTTGTCCTACATACCAGAAGAAAATAACTTAAAGTCAGAGGCATAGTTTCCAAGGTCAGCAGACCATTCTCTCTACCTAATGAAGTATAAGTGGATTATTCTACAACTGGTCAGCTGCCCTAGGACAATAACCACCATCACAATAATAAGTGTTAACATTTATTAAACACTGATTGTATGTCAGGCATTTCCCTAAGTGCTTGGCTCATTTAATCCTAACAACCTTATGAGGTACATACTTTTGTTATTCTCACTTTACAGATGAGGAAAATGAGGCATAGTGGGGTTAAATAACTGGCCCAAGGTTATAAAAACTAGAAAGTAGCAGAGTTAAGAGTCAAATTTAGGGAGTCCTGTTTCCACAGTCAATGTCCTTAAACCACTGGGCAATACTACTGCTTAAGGAAATATGGCTATTAGCCATTCTCAAGCTTATGCTTCTAGTGAGCAAACCAATGACCAGATTCCCTTTCCAGCCTGGAATAATATGTGTATACTATGAAACAAAGTGAGGAGACCAATTCTCTTCTGAATCTTTAATTGGGTAAAAATTATTTGTGGAGGAACAGTATGTTGGGAAGCACTCCTACAAGGGTCTCTTCTACTCTTTTAAACCTTGCTGAGCATGTCAAGAGTGTAAAGTCCTGACTGCACTTAACTTGGACCATTTCTCAGGACTGTGTTTACACCAATGGACCTTGAGGGATGAGGTAATGCCTCCCTCTAAGACAAAGAACAATCTTGCTACTGCTTATAATAAAATGGCAGTTTCCCCAAGTTCAGTGTTCCTCCCATGATATAACCTATGGCCTGTGTAGCATCCACCTGAGTCCTCCACATAAGACTCGGGAGACAAGGGGAACTGATGCACCACAATGCTCATGTTACCTGCTGTGCTATGAGTAATAAAGTTCTTTATTTCTGATCCAGAAATCTCTTCTGCCAACATCTAAGAAAGAGTAACTGGCTAACTTATTAGATTGAAGTAGAGTAAAATCAAACTCCAGACCTGACCCTGTATTCCAGAACACTTCCTACAAGTATTTAGTCCACAAATAGGCAGCAAGTACTTTCTCTATGCCAGACTGTTCTAGGCTATAATAAATAGTAGAATACATTCTAAAGAGGGAATGTAACATGTACACAGTGTAAAGAGGAAAAAAGATGTTAAATCATCTCAAACATACATAAAATTCCAACTGTGATAAGTGCTATGAGAGGCAGATAGTGGGCAATGTAGGAATATCTGCTCTAGTAAAGAAAGTTACCCTGAAGAGTTGATATCTAAGCTGAGGTGTGAGCAGGAATAATCCACCAGATAAAAAGTAAAAGAATAGTGCCCTGAGCATAAGAAACAGCACGTCCAAAGGCTGTATGACAGCAGGGAACATGGTAAATGAAGGGACTAAAAGAAGGCCAACGTGGCTACAAAAGAGTGAGGGGAATGGAATGCAAGATGAGCTTAAACAGGGAGGTAGGAACCAGACCAGGTAGGGCCTAAAGGCCCTGTCAGAGCACTAGCTTTATCCTAGGGTGAGATGGGAAGCAACTGAAGGATTTTAAACAGGGGGAATGAGATCATTTTACCTTTATAAAACATAATTTTTCCTTTGACTCTAGGGTTCCAAACATTTCAAATGGCTTCAAGGCCTCATAATAAATTGTCAAATGTGCTCGCCAATATATTGCCACATGATCACTTTCTCACAACAAGGACTCATTCATTCTTTCATATTGTGCTAATTCAGGTCTGCCAAGAAGACATCAAAATAGGATAGACATGTAAAAGATTTTCTAGAGAGGAAGTAGAAGGCAGGGAGAGCCTTCGGATCACAGTGAGGTCTGATACATATAGAAGAGAGGGAAAGAAGGAGGTTTAGTATGTTTCAGACTGCAGGTTGTTCCAAGAGAGGTTTGGTCAAGCCAGTGGGAAGTCCTCATATCAAAGGAATCCCTCAATCTTAACAAGGTGTGCCTGCATTAATACTCCTGTTATGCTCAGTCATTGTCTGGGAGCAGTGTACAACAAGATTGGCCTCGGTACAAATGTGGTGATGGACTTAGAGGCGGCAGGAGCTGAGGCTGTCAGTCACTTATGCTCCCTACAGCAGGAGATCTGATCTGCACATTTTCATTAAGCAAGAACTCGAGATTTAATAGGTACCCAGCCCACTGTAGTCATTAGAGATACAAAGAATAACACAATCCCTGCCAGCTAGTGTTCAAAACCTAGTGACCAATAATGTTATCTCACCTGCTCTCAAACTGAAACCAGGACCCCATATTCTAGCCGGAGTTTGAAAAGCAGAATAAGCTCTGCTCTAATACCTTATACTGAACTGACTTTTTAGAATGTTCAGTCTTCTATTAAAAGGGAGCATGAAAAGGAAACATTCTCTTTCCCACCCTTAGTTTTGGCAAGGGCTCTTTAAAGGTCACTTCTGCCCAGAAAGCTTATCCATCTTTGTTCTTTCCATTGAGATCTTTTCAGCCCCAGTTCCCTCTTTGAGACAATCTAGCACAATGCACTGAGTGACAGCTTTCCTGACATGCAAACAACAGGGAGAACAGGGGAATAAAGAAGAAGGGGAGGAGACCACCATAATTGGGAAGGTCCTAGTAAAAAGCATATGTCTATTCTATATCCAGTTAAACCCCTCTCTTCACAGAGTATAGGACTGTTTTTATAAATTATCACTCAAATCCATAGGAAATGGGAAGTCTTACTTCAGAAATGTGAGTATGAAATGAAAAACTACACAAAATGGTCAGGAAAAAAGCAATTAATTGTGATCTGCACTTGAAAATGTTCAGGGAGTGATTTTTAGAGCTGAGACTAAGGAAGGGCAGATGATTTGCTTGAGGTCACACAGATGTAACAGTTGGGGCATGAATCCACATGTCCTTATGCCAATGTTCTTTCCAATCTGGGAATCTTAATCCAGGGTTCGAGATCCTGTTCACAGCTCAACCTCATAGGGTTCATAACCCCCATAAACCTGGTAAGTAATGTGTGCGTGCACGTGCGCGTGCCTGCATACATACATGTGAGCATTTCTAGGTGTGGGAGTGGTGTCTGTAGTTTTATTTTCTATGAGAAATCATGAATATAATGGTTTACATATGAGTAAAGAAGAATGAGGGAGGAAACAGACACATTGGGCAGATACGATTGCTTTCTGGTTGGTAATGACAGATGGGCTGAAGGGCATCAGAAAGACCAAGACAGGAAGAATGTCTATGTCATGACATTTATGACAACACAAAAGAGAATGATTTGTTTTCTACCTTTAGAAGATGAAATATTAGATGCATGTCTAAGTGGTATGAGAGGTAAAGATCATTTGTCCACCAGAATGGAAACATTAAAACAACACCTGGGGGGCTGGGTTGGGTGTATCTCAGTGGTACAGATGCTTAGCATTCTTGAAGCCCTAGGTCCAATCCCCAGCACTCAAAAAACAAAAAGCAACAATGAACTACAGAAAAAATTTTATATTACAATAATAAGTATAATATTGTGGTAAGGAAGCAGGGATAAATAGATAATAAATAGCTAATAAAATTGAGATCATACATGTTTGTGAGAATAGGCTGGCCTACCTTCGTTCAAGTTATTATGGAAAATAGTCAAGGTAGTTAAAAATATTCTGCTCTATTTCATTTTTTAAAGGGAATAGCTTTAAAATTAATAAGCTTACAATGCACAGTCTCTTTGGAAGGGAGGGATTGTAAAGCACCAGTGACTTCAATAGGGGACTAGGCTAGGCTGAATAATACCTTCTGCCTAGATGTATGTCTAATCTCTGGGACCTGTGAATATTACCTTATGTGACAAAGACTTTGCAATGTGTTTAAGTTGAGTAATCTTTGGTGGAGAGATTATCCTAGATTATCCTGTTGGGCCCTAAATGCAATCAAAAGTGTCCTTATAAGAGGGAGCTCAGATTTGGCAAAATACAGTAGAGGAAAGGCATGGAGGCAGAGATTGGAGAGAGAGGGCCACAAGCCAAGAAATGTCAGCAGAAGCTGGAATCGGCAAGGAATGGACTCTCCTTTAAATTCTGGAGAGAACATCTCCTTGCCCACACCTTGATTTGTGGCTCAGTGATACTGACTTTGGATTTACTACTAACAGCTGTGGGCGAATAAACTTCTGTTGTTTTAAGCAGCAAAATCTGTGAGACTTTGTTACAGCAGCTATAAGAAATATTGGGATTAATTAATAATTAATAATATAAGCTATATTGGGATTAATCTAACATTTCTAAAAACTGGTAATATTCAGACCAATCAGTATAATTCAATCACTTTTAGAAAAACCTGTAGTGAGGAAGAGGAAAGATTAAACAGAAAATATTACATAAGATTCATTTAGTCAGAGCAGTAGAGTAGGTGGGCAAAATCTCCAATTATATAGCCCTATTGTAATATAATGGGAGAGCAATAATTCCAAAACAAGAAGCTTACAGATGGAAATATAACAGTTATAAAGAAAGGAAAGTGACTTGCTCAATCATGCCAGTTTAGGGATTGCCAGATGTTAAACATGAGAGAAGATCTACATGCTATGTGGAAAAAAGGGGAGAGAAACATGGTAATGTGAACAATGCCCATCATATGTACAGTTTTCAAAGCATTTCCAAATGCACAGTAATAGCAATCACTCATTGAGTACTATGTGTTGCATGCTTGACATTCATGTTTTCATTTAATTCACACAAAACTATCAAAATAGGTATGATAACATCCATTTCATTAAAAGCAAACAAGGAAAAGGCCAGAAGTAGCAGAACAGGGTTTAGAAAAAAATATTCATTTGTTTACAAAGCCAACCCTTTTTATTGTACTATCCTGCTTTATTATACCATTAATCCTCACATGATCTGTGAAGCAGATTGTGAACTCCATCAAGAAGACTGCCTTGTCCACCACTTCATCTGGTAATCAATAAATATTTGTTAAATGAATAAACAAAATAGATGAGGCATAGAGAGATTAAGCATTTTCTCCAAGCTGCACAGCCATTATTTGGCAGGGCCAGGTTCTCTGATCCCAAATTCTCTCTCTCTCTCTCTCTCTCTCTCTCTCTCTCTCTATATATATATATATATATATATATATATATATATACATAAAAGATCCAACAGCAAACAGAACCATATGTGTCTCTCAGGCAGGTGAGGGGCATGGGGAGATAAAGGACAAATAGGTAAAATAAGAGAAGAGCTTTTTTGCTTAAATGCTGCGATACAATATGAGTGGAAAATGAATCTAAAGACTGAACTGAAAAGGATGAATTTGGAGTAGACAGGAAGAAGATGAAGGATGTGGATTGAAGATGATGTGCAAGGCATTGTTGGATCAGAAAATGATTTGGACAGAGACCAAAGTAAATTGTTTTCAGGGGAATAGAGCCATCCCCCAATTACCATGCCATCAGTCACACGGGTATGTGGGTACATGCCAATGGCAGCTTTGCCTATTAATCGGAGCAGAATAAGTGGTTCCATGTGGTGAAGGACTTCTGAGCCAAATCGGCAGAGATTTTGCTTGCCTAAAGCTGAACTATCTGCCAAACTCTCGTAAAGAACTGGCTGGACACCCAGACTGGAAATGGGTAACTCGAGAATAATGAGGACTGTGATGGGAGGCGGGGAGACTGGGGGAGAGAATCACCACAGAGTCTGAAGCCTGAGTGACTGGTCTTTGTCAGCACAATCTCTTTGTTCCCTCATCCTTTCTGAGGAAATCAAAGTTTTATAAGACACCCAGTTGGGAAGCCAAACCAGAGGCTTTCCAGGTAACATAGACAAGGAAAAAGGGTACACTCCTCTATAATTTTAACGAACACCAATAAGTTTCCCAGAGGAAGAATTCAGATTTAGGTTGATCACTCCTGGCTATTCCTATGCCCAGAGGCAAAGACTTTCCCTTGGTCTTGACTTAAAGAGACCCGAACAACAGGATAATGGCTGATGGCCATCCCATCACATAGCCTTGTTAAGCCTACGAATTAAACTAGAAACATAACTGTATGGACTCTTGATGAATTTCAGAATCATGTCCATTTGTATATCCAGCATCTTGCAAAGTACCTGCTCCATGGTAGGAGTACAAATTGTATGAAAAATGAAGAGAAACTAATAGTAAATTAATGATTAGGCACAGACAGCAAACTGGATCTAAAAATCTGTTTTCATTGGACTCTCTGGGTTTACAACATCAGGATTTAAAAGTGGGAGAGACACGGTCTTAAGGAAATATGAATCAATGAATTTGAGATGATAATAAGAATTATAAGTACCCATTATATTTTCAGTTGCAATTTCTCAATCCACATCATAACCCCTGAGAAAGGTGAAGCTCAGTGTGATTGTTTCTTTCCCCAAAGACAGAGCTAGCAAGTGACAGAAGTCTCTGAAGCCTGTACACATACGTGTTCTTCTCACTATACTCTCTCAAAAAAACCAAGAAAAAAAAAAAACTTCATTATTGTCTATATAGAAAGCTCTGCAAATTTTCTCTGTATCAAACTAGAAAGTTAAAGACATAGTTACTTCTGGATCAAACAGGACTTGGCCAAGCAGAAGAAGTGATGTCTTGAAAATTTCAGACTTAAATTCTGAATCCCACAGCAGTCATATATTCCTTGTTACTTAAACTATAAATTTGGAACTAGAACTCAGACAAGAAACTCTATACTAGTTAAACAAAAACAACAAAGAAAATCCTCACATTCCCCTTCCTAGAAATCAAGCATCTTTAAGCTGAAGATTTCTAACCGAAATAGGGTTTCTACCTGGCTTATTTCCACAGAATTTAGCATTCAGAGAGCCAAGGCCTGAGATTTATCCTCAGTTCCTGGGCAAGGGCCAGGAAAGCAGAGCCAGACAGACAGAGGCCAGAGTTCTGAGACTCCATACTAAAAAGACAAAAGTGAGCTACTAAGTCACAGGAAGCTGGCATGGGCTCAACGGTATGGGTCCAGATTTAAAGGCACAATTACTGTGACTTGTGAAGGCACTAACTCCCCAGCAAATCAGAAGTTGCACTGGAGATTTCAGAGTGAAGTAAGTAAGTAAAGAATTAAAAAGTCAAAGCTAAGGAGATGGAGTCACTTAGCAGGGCGGTCCAGGAATCACTGACACCAGAAAGACTGAAAGGATGTACGGATGAGAATCGCTCAGAGCCGAGATAAAGGATGGGGTCCCACACCATGAAGCCGGAGTCTCTTAAGTCAGCTACAGAAAGAATTCCCTTTCCGACAGAGAAGGTCCAGGGGAAAAGAGGACTATCTGGAAGGAGGGGACCGGACAAGGTATCACAATTCCACAGAGTGCCTGAGTGGGTGCCTGTGCTCGTGTGTGGAGCCCAGAGGGAAACTCCCCAAAAGGAAAGGCCTGGGAGGGCTGCTCGCCAGGGGAAGGGCCGGAGGCCGCGGGACAGGCTCGCGGGAAGAGGGCGTCGCCGAGCGGGCTCGACTCACCTCGGCCGTAGCCCTGCGTGTGCTTGGCGAAGCTCCTCACCAC